ATGTAATTAGGCCAGAGTTTGACACCTATGGTTTAGGGGGTTCTTTACTATATTAATAGATCATCGCTTGTTTTCTGCCTGTGTTAAGATCCTATTGATCACTATGTGGCTCTTAATTAAGTCTCTGTCTCCTAATTACTGCTGGGCCTCATTACCTAAATGTTCCTCTGCATTGAGATTCAGAGCTTTTTATGGAGCCTATGTACTTGCACGCATGATTTGGCAAGAACTAAGTTACAAGCATAACATTGCTAGAAAGGCTTTTCCTCTCCTCTTACACAGTATCCCAGTCTGTATGATAAGCAGATCTGCTGACTGATTAGCGTCCCAGCACATACAATATGTTGCCTGAAGCTCTGAAATAATGCCAGCTCTATTTATATTTATTTATTGCCGAACTATACTTACACCAATGTGATTACACATTGCACATTACAGTGATGGGATTTATGATTACTTCCAGCAGGCTGCTTTTCTTTCAGAAAGAGACAGACCGGCATTGAAATGTTTTTTTGCCATAGAAAACATAGAATGTTGCTCATTTAGCCTTACATGCTGTTGCCTTTTTTTAAGTAGACCAAGTACAGTGGGCAAAAGCTTTGTAGCCTTCAGAGGAGGAAAGGCAGTAAAAGAAAACAGGAAACTTGCAAATTCCCAGTGAATTCTCATTACGTCATGGTATGATTTTTTAGAATCCAAGTTCAACTGTAATTTTGTGATTAAGCAAAACCAAAAGAGAGCCAGCAGGAGATTTACAAGATGATGCTAAGCAGGAGAATTCCAGATTTTCCTGGAAGCAGTTTTGTTATCCTTCAATCTAATAGCCAGTGGTGGATTTAATCTCCTCAAATTAGTCCCATGCTAATCCTCACTAACCTCAAACAGAGGTCACTCATGTCCAATTTGAAGATGCATAAAGAACAGTTTGTAATTGCGTGTTTCAGGCCCACAGCTTGATGCTTGGTGATGAGTAATTCTCTTGCATGCTCTTTTCTCTGTGCATAGGATTCAAAATGTCTGCCTACAGTGCATACATCCACCAGACAGCTCGTAGTTGTATAAGCAAAAACTCTTCGTGCCATACCTTGTGGGCAACATTAATTTGAATTTTAATCCCTGCAGTATTATGTATCAGCATGCTGCTTTACATAAAAATATACCTGCAAAGTTTCAAAATGTTCTCTGCTCTGTTCTAACAACCCATCAAAAGGATGCGGAAAGACCAAGTGCATGAGCGACCTATTGGCTTGACAGAGCTAGCATGTGACTTTCTATCACTATCATATCAAATCTTGGCTGTTTTTCTCCAATGTATTACAGGATTATGCTGACCTATGCCCTAATCCCCAGTCAAATTTAAGCTTGATGCACTTAATTCCAAGCCTATATTTTGCCAAAGCCAAACAAGAGCATTGGATATGCTTTTGGCTCTGTGTCAGCTCTACCTTTCCTCTGTTCACGAGGTTTATGAAAACGTTATAGTTGCTCAAAATGAACTCGGATCTGTCATATGACAGATTTGAGTCTAAATTTGGTTTCAAATGTTTATCTCGGAGCGATTCACTGCCACCGAACTGCAAAAACTGTCAGTTTTGGATCTTAAACCACAGAATAAACTTATATTAATGTTGCTATTGGAGCAACATTTTTCAAACATTTTACATTCAGTTCAATTTTATTTATATAGTGCCAAATCAGAACTTTATATTGTAAGGTAAAGACCCTACAATAATGGAGGGAAAACGTGAACAATCAGAGGACACCTTATGAGCAGCCACTTGGCGGAAGTGGGAAACAAAAACTCTCTTTTAACAGGAAAAAACCTCTAGCAGGGCAAGACACAAACAAAATAGAAATAAATGGCCAGTACTGAAAACAAACCTACACTATAGGCTTCGCGTCTTTGTGAAAACAGACTTATCTCTTAAATGGCAGACACTGTCTGTAACAATCTGTAACCACTCTGCACTGGCTGATTTATCAAAATTAAGAAGAAATTTAGACTTTTTAAATGCTGGTCTGACAAAAGTTAAAGCATTTTTAAAGAGTTTAGTAAAAGGATTAATTTGCTTCTTGCCACAATGATAAACGATTTGTTTCTTGCTTGCTTGCATAGTACATTTTACTCGTGCCATACAGTAAAGTTCTCAGAAGTAGTCACTTTTTTTTTATTTGACCAGCTGTTGTCAGAACTCTGTTGCTTTTATTTTTAGATCTGGATTGATTTCCCTTACAGTAAACGTCGAACAGAACACGGGCATATATTAATCACTCCTCTCCATCAGCGGGATGCTCAGACACACTGCTGACTGCACGAAACAGAACGTTGCTGATGGGTGATCGAGTAGGTGCATATTAGCAAATTGAAGTGCATGGTTCTTAGTTGTGACACATATCCTGAGCAAGGGGCCGGCTGTGTGCTACATGAAAGCTTTGCAAGTTGTGTGTTTTCTTTGTCTGATTGAGTCAAACAGACGTACGTTCAGACTTACACTCTCCACATTCCTTCCTTTGCCCAATTTGATACAATTCATTTTTTCTTAGAAGCCTTACAGTGAGATAAAACAACAGATTACCACAAAAAAAGAAAGAAAGAGGCTTTCCAACACAGTTAGTTCTCGAAAGAGAAGTTGGATGATCGAGTATGTGCAAATGCTTTCTTTTAATTATAAGAAACAATCTGTAAATGCAATATGGAGACATTGTGTTTGTATTAGCAGAGTGCAAATTTATCCTTACATATCTGCACATCACAGTGAAGGTTATCCTTTGTAATCCGGTGACCTGACCAGCGATCTACACCTGCAGCCTCTTCTTTAAAACCCTATTTAAAAAAAAACAAAAAAACAAAAAACCCACTCCTGCCTTGTGGCTACCTCCTGCTGCGTGCAGGCTTTTCAAAGTGATGCCGCTGCAATACAAACCCAAATAAACTCCACATTGTGTTAATGAGCATCTACATCATTTCCTCTCTGGCCTCTCTGACTCAGCGTGACCCAAAGGTCACAGAGGCTTCCCAGCAAAGTGAGACGGTCCCTGGGAATTTGTGAGACCTCCCTGTAACCCTCGCGCGTCATAGAAATGTACCCAAAAAACTTCATCCTTATTTTTCACTCTTTTGCTTATGTATTAACTGAAAAAAGAAAGTGGAGACAGAGTGATCAGCCTTTTCCTATTTCTGCCTGGTATGAGTCATTTGCAATTCAAACAGGGCCCACTACTTCCTGTTTTCTAGTCTTGTTGCAATCCTTCAGGAGCATGCACCTCCAGAAATAGATACCTTTATCACTTCACGGCTACCTTATGCTCTGTCGCTTTCCTTATTATGTCATCAGGCTGTATGTAAATATGCATGCGCACATAACAGAGGGAGAGCGAATTCTGCTAAAATAAGAGTACAGATATAGGCAGCAGGAGAGACACTGGGTGCACTGAGACAGCCGTCCTGTAAGCTAGTGGCTAATTTTAGCCTTTCATGGCAGTGCACTATATCTCCCCATGGATGAGTTGAACCATAGAGGGATCTGAGCACCAGCTCAGCCTCTTGTTCTCTCCTCTGTTCTGTGTGCGGACACTGTCCTTTATGCAGAAAGGTTACAGGGCAGTCACAATAGACCGGGGTGGAGAGATGAAGATTAAAAGAGCCTCTAAAACACCTGGGGTTTGGTGGTGGTGGGGCGGTTTAACAGATGATTTTGCATACAAATGGCAAAACTGGTGCATATCAGCACAGCCTGAAGTCCATTCTCTTGCAGATCTTATTTGGGCTTATTTGGAACTAAATTATATGCAATAGTAGTAGTGTTTTTGTTAGTGTTTAGGTGCACACAAGGACAGAAAAAGACCATAAATGACCAAGGTTTTAGATATAGAGATAAAAATACTGGCGTGTGTTGTACATATATGTTTACTTACCTGAAAATCCTTGATTTCTTGTATTATATACAAATGTAAACATTTGTCAGTAAAAGGAAACCCCCGAAACAAAAAGTTCATCAGTTCTCATTTACAAAACAAAAGCGAAGCGACTAAATTGCCTTTATATGTATATGGGATAATAGGTAGAACAGGTAATGTATGGGGAATGGAAAGACATGAACTTAAAATAGATGGTAATTACCTGAAATGTCTCAATTCAACAAACTGGCGAATGGGGCAGGTTTATTATGCAAAACGAACCAGGGGGCTGGCGGGAGGAGAGATTGAGCTTCGGTGTGAGGAAGATTATGGAATAACTAACCTGGAAATAAGTAATGGGTTTCTGATGCTAATGAGAAACTCTGAATTAAAGCCACAGCCAACCAGGCGTGAGTCAATTCTCTTCGGCCAGATCCGACGTAAATGAAACCGTTTTGCGCCGCAGACATGCTTACTCACCCCGCTGATGACTTTCTATTCTGAAACTTTCGGGCTCTGATTAAACAGCCACACCGGCACCGACACCTTTTCCAGCTCACAGCATTGAAACACACTTACGGGCTAATTATTCCAGAAGTTTGCACTTCCCCTCATCATTCACTTCACTTGCTCTGTGCTACCTACTCTAGCTCATGTGTCTCCTCTACTGGTCAGGTTTTTTTTTTTGGAAAGCAGCCGTGTTCAGTTATGAGCAGCTCAACATCTGTGAGTGCAGAGATACATGCGCACACACACGCATGCAGGCACACACAGACGCTGTGGCACCCAAACACTTTGGAGGACAGACAGGCACACTGTGCCCTCAGCTTCAAAGGTGACTTTGTATTTTTGTGAGCGTTTTAAATGTTTTTAATCTTTTTTTAATCTTTTTGTGTCCCTGAAATACCAGTGCATCCAACGTTTGAGACTCTTACAGATCTAAATCTGGGCCGCTGTGTCTGTGTTGCTTACTGAAGTTTATATTTCTTCATAATGCCGTGCTTGGATTACGACTGTCAGAATTTGAGTAAATGCTTTTGCACAACCAAGCAGATGCTGATGAGGTCTCTATCTCTCCTTTCTTCTGTCTTTCTCTTTGGCAGATTTTCCATATGACCTATGACCTGGCTAGTGCAGTGGTAAGAATATTTAATTTGATAGGTATGATGCTGCTTCTGTGTCACTGGGATGGCTGTCTGCAGTATCTGGTGCCTCTGCTCCAAGACTTCCCCCCTGACTGCTGGGTGTCCCTAAACGGTATGGTTGTAAGTATTACACACTCTTCTCTTTTGTTTGTTATTTTTGGATTTTTACTGTATAAAAGCTGTACAGCAGACTCGCTGTTTAACACCTGCCACATGTCAAGCCTATGGAAACGATCTCATTCCCATACAGCAGTTTTCTAAATCTTATTTTTTAATCAAAACCATAAATGAACAGATGTGATCAGATGCAGCCAGCTAACAATTTAAAAGTGCAGGGGTTTGTTGAAAAGGCCTTTTCTCGTAGCACTGAAATGTGTCCACCTTGTTTTTCCCCGTTAAAATACACTTGCTACATCATGCTAATACCACACCTGTGCATGGCCCACAAAAATAGATAGCACAGCATAGTTTTATTACGTATGTAAACAAAATGAGGACAAAAACACAAATATATTTTTGCATATTTTTGTAGCACAGCTCTAGTTAGTCCTAAAATTACATTAGATTGTAACAGAGAGAGATTATAGAAATAAAGCAAAACGTTGTTAAAAAAAAATGGGCAGCAAAGCGAAACGTTAGTCTTTTTTTACAGTGATGTGGCCTCTTTGGTATTTCTTTAAATTACCACCCATAGACTTTATAAACAGTCATGTGAAAAATAAAGATTTCACAGTCCTGTGAAAACCTCAGCACACCTTTACTGCTTCACTAGGTAAGTAAATGGCAGGAAATGCTTGTTTAATTGACCTTCAGCAAGTGTGACCACCTTTATAAAAGTTTGTTGCTGGCCTGGAGCATTCAGCTGTGTGATAACACGCCTCCCTCAGAGAAACAATCTGAAAAGTTACATCTCAAACTCCACAGGCCTCAGGTAGCATGGTAAAAGTTGCCAGGAGGAAGCTTCTTGTCTCTAAAAAGAACATGGCAGTATGGCTTAGGTTTGCAAAGCTTCATCTTATCAAGACAAGGTGAAAGATGTTTGATAATGCACAGCGCCATATTTGTTGTAAAGCCAAACACAGCACATCAGCTCAAACACCTCATACCAACTGCCAGGCATGGTGGTGGAAGGGTGACAGGACCTGGGTATCCTCCAGTCACTGAGTTGCTGGGTTTTTTTTTTTTTAAATATCCCCAGTAATACTTGTCTCTGTATGTGGAAAACACTTTGTGTTCACTAACACATGTTAAACATATTAGTTGTCATTGTTAAAAAACAAACGAATAAAAAAAGACACATGTATTTCATTTCTTCTTTGCAACGATCTGATCTGTATTTCTCACAGTCTGGTTATTGCCGTCATACTGCAACCAGTTTAAACCAGGGACAGGGAACACAGCAACCATGGTTGCTGTATTTGTTTATGTTGCATAAACAAATACATGCAAACCTCAATGAACTGAAACAGCGTCATTAAGGAGCATGGGCCAAATATCCTCCACAGCGATGCGAGAGACTAACAAAGCCATACAGAAACAATCACTTCAAGTTATTGCTGCTAAAAGTGCTTCTACAAGCTACAGAATAATGAGGTGCACCGAGATTTTCGCAGCAATGAAAGCTTTCCTTTTCACGACTGTAAAAATGTAGCATAATGTTACACATTACTTTGTGTATTACTGTTTTTGTATTACTGATTGTGACTGTAAATGTAACAGTAGAGTGAGTGGCGACTGTAGAGTGTCTTGCGGCCCTACGTGAAAATTCCCAGGGGTCCGTTTTACATTTGAAAATACACGCTGACGTAATCTTTCTAGTTACGTGTATCAGTGTATGAAAAATGTAAGCCAGTGTGTCCCCTGTGTACAGTAGACAGCTGGACAACTGGACAGTGTCAACACAGCTTATGTTTGATTTCTTTGGGGACTGTCCCCTCGTTTGGACTTTTTCTGCATCTTTCATCTTCCCTCTTCTCCTCTTGAGTTGAGGTCAAGCGGACTGTGCTTGCCCGTCTTGGACTGATGTGAGCGCGTGCGGACCTCCTGGGTAATGCTGATTGTAAATACTCCCCCGCGGAGCTCTTTTGCCGTCTCCTCTCCCTCTTTCTGTGACAAATATTTCTGTGCTGCACGAGCACACGAACTGTTTAGAGGCATCATACCGGAGGTGCAAATGTCAGCTTTTATAAACGTCACAGCTCTCATCTTTACTTCGAGGCAACGAGTTGCCCAAGTGCGTTTGATACCAGCTAGCATGTGTTATTCATCCAAACAGACATTATCCATCTCTGTTCGCACCGAAGGAATTTGCACTGATGTAATTTCCCACAGAACTGTCACAATTCATCCTTGTTAATGGTAACTACGGGCGAACAGCTCCTCAGTAACCCAGATTCTTAAACTTCCTTTTAAACAGCAACACTCTGGGTTCATAATTACTTGTCGCTGTAAAACTTAATGATAAACATCTCCTTGCATGCACGCTGCGTGTTGCTGATCTTACTGAGAATAAAGCTGGTACATCCTCCTTCTTCTATGCAAATCAATATCAAAGGGAGATGGTGTACAAGCCTAATTTGGTGCCCCCCGTGTGGCTATAGCTGCAGCCTGCAAAAATTGCCTCTAAAACAAATAAGGCATAAATCAGTGCTAGAAGCCTGTGGGTGAGCTCTTATGACACGAAACCCTTTCTCCAAGCTGTATTCACTTGTATGTAGCTAAAACATTGCAAAGATGGCTTTGTATGTTTGTTTTACACTTTCTCTGATGGGTTAGCTACTTGCTGGTGAATTGACACATCCTAAACTCTCTCAGGCAGCTTTCTTGATATTTCTTCAGGAATAGATATCCAGGCTTCTTGAAGCTCTTCTTTGGATATTAACTACCTTTTCGTTCTGTTTTCTGTTATGATGATCCCACACTGCCTCAGTAATGTGCCAGTCTGAGCTCTAGGGAGACCAATCCATTGTGTGTTTTCCCATCCTGATATGCTTTTATACTGTATCAGCACCGTGTTTGGGATCATTGTCTTTCTATAAATGAAGCCACTGTCAATCAGATGCTTTACGCATGATATTGCAAACAAGCTCAAAATCTGATGGTACTTTTCTGCATTAATTCTATCGCTTCCATCAGATCTCCAACACCACTGTTGTACCTCTCTCCTGACCTCCTCTTGCAGTCAGTCTCAGATGGCTTAACAAACAGAAGAAAAATCGCTTTAAAATGGCCATGCACAAATACTCAGGGAAAAAGCAGCCAAAGAAGAACTTTGGACATTGGTTTCTCCAAAGCGTGGAGACCTATTGTCAAAGAGCACTTCTAAAGATTGGAAAATAGTCTGGCTCCCTGGAAACAAATTATAAAGAAATAAAGGGGTCGTCTGACTTCTGCACAGTGCTGTATATTATTTACAAATATTCATACAAATTTGCAAATCTAGTTTGGGTCATCAAATATGTATTTGTCTGTAAGTAATGAGGGCAATTTTTATCCCGCTGAGCCGCTTACAGCTGAACCAAATTCATCTTGCCCTTTAAAAAAACATTAAGGAGCGTATGAGTTCATCAGTGAGTGCCAGTATTATGCTTGCTTTTACATTTAACCAAAAGCAGGCGTCCTGCACATGATAATTGTTACTCTTTGTCAAAATTCTAAACGACAAGGCTAAGAATGCTGAAATCTTAGAAGAGAAGGCTATGCACACTCCAATGACAGAAAGACACAAAAAACGTGAAACTGTGGAAGTATATTTGGATTTAAGTTCAAAATTCATAATTTTTTAAGAGTCTTTTCTTCTTCATTTTATGAGGGGGCAATCCTAAAAATAACTCACAAAGAATAACCATGAGGCATTTTAGAGGTAAAATCTGTTTAAGCCAGTGGTACTGTAGATATCTGCACATGAGCAGCTAGCATAGTGTTACTGATGGTGATGTGGCAGAATGGGCAATTTGTGGAATCTCTTCCCTGTGGATCTGTGCAGAAGTGCAGGCCTGTGCACTGACTGCTGTCTGGCAAATCCGAAGTGATAAGGCCAGCTCGCATATGGGATTCCTCTTCTCACACCATCGCAATGCATTAGCATTCACAAGTTGAAAATCAGGATAAGGTATCTTTTCCTCAGTTTACTGTGTTTGCTGCAGGTATAAATAAACAATACAGTTGAACGTTGTCATCGGGAGATTTGTCTTTGTCTCTGTCCAGAAAAGGAGAGCTTTAAAGCCATATATTGCATCATATTTTTTTCTGTTGTTGGCTCCGTACTTTCAGTCTCCAGCTGTGAGTCGAAGAGTGAGGGCAACAATGGCTGCAGATACTGCTGAGTGGTGCAGTGCACAGTCTAGGCCTGTTATCTTCCTGACTAATGGTCTGAGAGTAGCTTCTTACTCTTTAGAGGCTGCATTTACTTAATCACCAAACAAGATAATGCTGCTGTCACTATGTTGGCTCATGTTGGAAGATGGTGGGCTGTGGTATTGGATAGGCTGTTGTACAGCTTAAAGATGCATGTGTTGGAGCATTTGTGAGTGTATGTGTGTGCCTACTGTTCCTGGCCAAGCTCATATCAAGAGACAGACAGCAGTAGCCCTGCTGAGGGCTCCTGTCTCAGAGAGAGCTAGACGCTGAAAGACAGGTGGATATACTGTAGGTAGACACAAGGGGGAAAAGGGAAAAAAGGACAGAAACGCCTGGCTAACCATGCACAACCCCTTCCTGGCTCCTTTTATCCATGGACCACCCACTTCATTTCCTTCCATTTCTTCCCAATCTCCCTGAATGAGTCACTTTCAAAAGGCGGGCTCAGTCCTGAATTTATGAATTAATCAGACGTTTCACCCTCTTCCCTTCTTTCACATCACACTTCCCCTCAACATACACATGGGGCTTATGGAAGGAAAATGCAAGACTGCTTCAGTCCCTATGCGAACAGCTTGTTTTTGGATTATTTTTTGGCTCTCGTGGTAATCATTTTTTGTTAGCTGAAAGAATTGTGTGCTATTTGTCAACTGATACAGTAGGATGGTTTAATCAAGCTTGTGTGAGGGTATTTGGACCACAGCTGCTGAGCTTTCAGAGGCTGTTGTGGGATCTTAAAAAATAAAGTTCTGTTGTGAGGA